TACAAGGCAAACCCAAGTCCCTGTTCTGGAACAGCCTTGCCTGCGAAACCTTCAACCAGCTCCAGGAGGCCTTCAGTGCGGCCCCCGTCCTTCACCATCCGGATCCCCAGGTACCCTTTGTAGTCGAAGTTGACACCTCTACCACCGGCGTCGGGGCCGTGCTGTCACAGCAAGGTCGGGAACCTCCAATCCTCCATCCTTGCGCTTACTTCTCCAGGAAACTGAACCCGGCGGAGCAGAATCATGACATCGGCGATCGGGAACTGCTCGCCATCAAACTGGCCCTGGAGGAGTGGCGTCACTGGCTGGAGGGAGCCCGTCACCCTTTCTCAGTGATCACGGATCATAAGAATCTCCATTATCTCCGTGAAGCCAAAAGACTCAACCCTCGTCAAGTCCGATGGGCTTTGTTCTTCACAAGGTTCCAATTCACAATCACTTACAGACCTGGAAATCGCAAATTGCAAGGCTGATGCACTATCCCGTATTCACTCTCCCGACAGTTCAACAGAACCAGAACCCATTCTCCCTCCAGCCCTGATCGTCAGCCCCATACAGTGGAACATCAACCAGGACATCCGTGACGCCACTTGCACCGAACCTGCTCCGCCGGGCTGCCCAGAAGGGAAGACGTACGTTCCCACCTCCCAGCGTCAAACCCTTCTGGGCTCAGTACATGAAGTACCGGGCTCTGGACACCCAGGCAGGCAACGGACCCTCTCGCTCCTCCAGGCTCGGTACTGGTGGCCCAGTATGACCCGGGATGTCAACAGATATGTCCAAAGCTGTTCAGCCTGTGCCATGTCTAAGACCCCACGTCATCTCCCTATAGGCAAGCTCGTCCCACTGCCCGTGCACCGTAGACCCTGGTCCCACATTGGAGTGGATTTCGTCATGGACCTCCCTGCCTCTGATGGTAACACCTGTATCCTTGTTGTAGTTGATCGCTTCTCCAAGGCCTGTTCATCCCTCTCAATGGTCTCCCAACTGCATTTGAGACAGCTGAATGTCTATTCACTTGGGTCTTCCGGAACTACGGCCTCCGGAGGTCATTTCAGACCGAGGGCCCCAGTTCGTCTCCCGAGTATGGAGGGCCTTCTTCCGGTTACTGGGAGTGACCGTAAGCTTGTCCTCGGGGTACCATCCACAGACAAATGGCCAGACTGAACGAAGGATCCAGGAGCTCGAACGTTACCTCCGGTCATACTGCCATGACGATCAGCACAGCTGGAGCCGCTATCTTCCTTGGGCCAAGTATGCACAAATCTCCCTCCGTCAGAATACCACCGGCCTGACCCCTTTCCATTGCATGCTCGGCTACCAACCCCCACTCTTCCCCTGGACAGAAGAGCCCTCGGAGGTTCCAGGTGTGGACTACTGGTTCCGAGAGAGCGAGAGAGTGTGGGACTCGGCTCACGTCCAGCTCCAACAAGCAGTGCGGAGGCGTAAGTTCTTCGCAGATGCCCGGCGTACCGCTACTCCCACCTACCAGCCAGGAGAACTGGTTTGGCTGTCCACCCAGGATCTGCGCCTCCGCCTGCCCTGTAAGAAGCTGAGTCCCCGCTATATTGGTCCGTTCCCAATACAGAGGCAGATCAACCAAGTCACCTACTTTCTGCAATTTCCACCCAGGTACAAAATTCACCCCTCACTCCACGTCTCACTCCTCAAACCTTGTCCTTCCTCCTCCTCCAGATCCACCGAGCCAGAAGCACCCCCTCCTCCTGAGGTTTTGGATCAGCCCTCTGTGTACCAGGTGAAGGAGATCTTGAATTCGCGGCGACAGGGCGGCCGGTTACAATATCTTATTGACTGGGAAGGATACGGACCGGAGGAGAGGTCTTGGGTGGCCCGCGACGACATACTGGATCCATCCCTGCTGGAAGAATTCCACCGCACGCATCCAAACAGTCCCGCACCCCAAAGTCGCGGTCGCCCTCGTCGCCGCCCCTGGAGGAGGGGGTAATGTCAAGAGATCATCGCGATCACTCACGTCAGCACAGTCACCTCCTCCGACACACACCAGATCCCAATCACCCAAATTCTGATCACCTGCACCTGCATCACCAATTAAGCCCGCTATATCTTCTCACTCCACTCAGCATTCCAGTGTCCGGTCTACCGTTCACTACCTGAACATTGCCAGACTCATTACAAGCTTTACTAACTGTTGTTTCCTTACCTCCAGAAGTCCATTCAGTCTCTTCTCTTCCGATTCTCCTCAGCCCCGGTTCATCTCCAGGATTCCTACTACTATCACACCCAGATTACCAAGAAGCTAAGATCCCCAGAACTCTCTCTCATATCTCTCTTACTCACCTGCCTTTGATCCTAACCAGCACCACATTGACAATAAACCCCTCTGTTTACCTGAACTCCTCTTGTTTCTTGCCTGTGTGTGACACTTGACTGTAACCACGCACATTTTCAGACTTTTTTACTCTAGCATTTTTAAGTTATGGACCCATAAGTTTGGCAGATATGACAATACAGTAACTGGAGAACACTGCATTATTAGCCCAATTGGAGGCGCCATATCTCAGCTGCCTTTGAGGATGCGTTAAACCTTACACTGGCGCCTTATTCCCTGCGCCCTTGACTGTTACCATGCAAATTTCATTTCATTTTCACTGTAGCAGTTTTATGTTATGGACCCATAAATTAGGCTGATATAATACAATTAGAGAAATTGCATTATTGGCCAAATTGGTGGCGCTATATCTTAACTTCCTTTGAGGGTGCGTTAAAAGTTCCACTGGGGCCTTATTCCCAGGGCCCTTGACTGTAAACACGCACATTTTCAGACATTTTTACTGTAGCATTTTTATGTTATGGACCCATAAATTAGGCTGATATAATACAATTAGAGAAATTGCATTATTGGCCAAATTGGTGGCGCTATATCTTAACTTCCTTTGAGGGTGCGTTAAAAGTTCCACTGGGGCCTTATTCCCAGGGCCCTTGACTGTAAACACGCACATTTTCAGACATTTTTACTGTAGCATTTTTATGTTATGGACCCATAAATTAGGCTGATATAATACAATTAGAGAAATTGCATTATTGGCCAAATTGGTGGCGCTATATCTTAACTTCCTTTGAGGGTGCGTTAAAAGTTCCACTGGGGCCTTATTTCCAGGGCCCTTTACTGTGACCATGCAAACTTCAAGACATTTTCACTGTTGCATTTTTAAGTTATGGACCCATCAACTTGGCTGATATGACAATACAGTAACTGGTGAACATTGCATTATTGCCCCAAATGGTGGCGCTATATCTCAGCTTCTTTTAAAGGTGCGTAACAATTTCTACTGTGGTCTTATTCCCAAGGCACATGACTGTTACCATGCAAATTTGCAGACATTTTTACTGTAGCATTTTGAAGATATGGACCCATAAGTTTGGCAGAAATGACAATACAGTAACTGGAGAGCAAATGGGACGATGCAATTTCTCCTGTTATTGTCATATCTGCCAAATACCTGGATCCATAACTTAAACATGCTACAGTAAAAATGTCTGACAATGTGCGTGGTTACAGTCAAGTGCCTTGGTAATAAGACCACAGTGGAACTTTTAACCCACCCTCAAAGGAAGCTGAGATATAGCGCCACCAATTGGGCCAATAATGCAATTTCTCCTCTTATTGTATTGTCATATCTGCCAAATGTATGGGTCCATAACTTCAAAATGCTACAGTAAAAATATCTGAAAATTTGCTTGGTCACAGGCAAGGGCCCTGGAAATAAGGCCCCAGTTGAAATGTTAACGCACCCTCAAAGGAAGTTGAGATATAGCACCACCAATTGGGCCAATAATGCAATGTTCTCCTGTTACTGTATAGTCATATCTGCCAAATTCATGGGTCCATATCTTTAAAATGCTACAGTAAAAAGGTCTGAAAATGTGCATGGTAACAGGCAAGTGCACTTGGAATATGACCTCATTGGAACTTTTAACGCACCCTCAAAGGAAGTTGAGATATAGCACCACCAATTGGGCCAATAATGCAATGTTCTCCTGTTACTGTATAGTCATATCTGCCAAATTCATGGGTCCATATCTTTAAAATGCTACAGTAAAAAGGTCTGAAAATGTGCATGGTAACAGGCAAGTGCACTTGGAATATGACCTCATTGGAACTTTTAACGCACCCTCAAAGGAAGCTGAGATATAGCGCCACCATTTGAGCCAATAATGCAATATCAGCCTAATTTATGTGTCCATAACTTAAAAATGCTACAGTAAAAATGTCTGAAAATGTGCGTGGTTACAGTCAAGTGCACTGGGAATATGACCTCTAATTAAACTTTTAACGCACCCTCAAGGACAGCTGAGATTTTGCGCCTCCAATTGGGCAATCAGTGCAATGGCCCATTCCACTGTATAATTACATATGTCATATATATAGGTCCATCTTCTAAATGGTATAGTAAACATGTCTGATATATATATATATATATATATATATATATATTCAGTTAAGTCATATCTATTTGTATAACACATTTCACAACACATATTGTTTCAGAGCAGCTTTACAGAAAATGCTTGTTTTTCTGTTACAAAACCAGAATAGTCTTTATAGGAGTGGGTATCAGAAAGAACAGTTGAAGTCTAGTACAAATTATAGTATTTACAAATACCATATATGCATTTAAGCAAACTTTGTGTGCATTTTAAAGCAATGAAAATGTCATAATTTTGTATCTGGAGTCCTCAATTCACAGGTGCTGGATCATATATGAAGTCTTCATAAGAGGCTAGATTTAAAAAAAAAAAAAAAACTTCATTACTGCACTCAAAGGATGACATGCAAGTTCAATAATTAACGTATGTTGACATCCCGTTTTCACTCTTATCTTAGTGTTATTTACATTTTAAAATGGTTTATTGTTCGTTTCTGAAAAAGAGACGCAAATAGAGACGGTCCCTAAATCGAGCGTGAATAAGAAGCTAAGAAATGCGGAAGCGTCGCGTTTTTAAGGTAGAACGGCTAGTGTCAATAAGAAGCTGTATGCTTTTGGGGCTTTTTATGTTTTCAATTTCTTGATAAAACTTAAATGCCTAATCAACTGTATTTCACCCCACACAAAACTGACTGTCTACATCAGCTTTCACCCTTATTTATCTTTATTTTTGTGTTTTATAGATGTTTTGTCATTAAATAAGTTTTGGCGCTCTTTTGCTAATCTTGCGATAATGACGTCACCCCTCCCGCGCGCTGCCTTTCTGAAGTTTTCTGACGCGAGACGCTTTTCCGAGTTTACGGAGTTTTCTGAGGTGAGTGTATTTTCACAATCGTACCCTTTTACACTTTACACAGTTTAAGCTAGTCACTTGTTTTCATCGAGTGTCATTCATAACTTGCACTTACACTTTAATTTCGTAATAAACTCGTTCTGTTCCGTAGAGAAAAACGTTTCTACACACGTGATTTGGGTTACTGTGTAAGAGTATGCTTATATGAGAAATGCTAAGCAGCTAAAACGATTAGTTGATTCCAAAATGCAACAAATGACACATTTCTGCCTCACATGACTAGAATCATATTATTCTCATAAATTGATGCATAGCTTGATGCTAACTGTAGCCAGGGTTGCCAACTCTCACGCACAGGCTTCCAGGCTCTGTCTCACGCGCTCACTCTGCCCATGTAAATCTCACGCCAAAGTGACAACCCTGCTTGTGATCAGTGGCCGAGCCAGGATGTTTTCACCTGGGAGGGGCCAGCAACCAGTCTGGGGTGGCACAGAAATATTCATTATTTCAATATAAAAATGTGTTTCACTGTAAAGTTCTGGACTGTTTTAGTACCTAAAACACAACTGAATACAATTAATTTCTACTTAATTGTAGTTGAGATATTTGTGAATTAGGTCAAGTAATACTGAGTGAATATGACAATTTTTGCATTATTCCTCACCTCCAGGTATTTTAATAAAGGGGCTCACTATAGCTTTATTGCTCACTCAGCTTGGTTCTGGTTCTTAAAACCCCCTAAAGCTTGTTCATCCATCATACTCGTGGATGAAAGTGAAAAAGTCAACAGCACATACATGCCAGAATATAAAATGAGCAATTTTATGCATTTAAATGGTTTCATTTTCGTTTGTACTTTACAAATTAAGTGCACTGTGCTCACTTTTAATTGTGCAGTAAATTACAAATAAAAAATACATAGCCTATCAGCTTGTGCCTTAAATTGTGATCTCGAGTTGCAGAATAGGCTATATTTTATATGCATTTGAGAGACGTTCTTTAATGTGATGCATACATGCATGCACAGTTTGCAACTTTAAACGGGTCATATGACGTTGCTAAAAAGAACATTGTGTGGTGTATTTGGAGTAATGCAATGTGTTTATGCGGTTTTAGGTTAAAAAACACATTATTTTCCACATAATGTACAGTATTGTTGCTCCTCTATGCCCCGCCTTTCTGAAACGCATTGATTTTTACAAAGCTCATCGTTCTGAAAAGTGAGGTGTGCTCTGATTGGCGAGCTATCCATTGCGTTGTGATTTGCCGAATACCTCAAGTGTGTGACGGAAATGTTATGCCCTTTAACATACTGTGATGCCGTCTCCCGGCACGACCAGACAAAACCAATAAAACCCATTACAAACGAGGCATTTGTTGCATCCAGTGGGGACATAATTACTGATTATTATGACTTATACTGTCTTTTTACGCGTTACGTTGCATCGCGCCGCGTAAACATAAAACCATGTCTGCATTTGTGATCGGAAAAATGACAAACAACAAGTGCTACTCTACATTGCTTAAAATTCGCGTTTGAATCGTCAGTGGCAAATTCTTTAAATATAAAAAATGTACTTACAGGCTGTGAGTCAGAAGCGCCAGACTGTCCTTGCAAAGTTGGAACTGCCCCACTTTATAGAACAGCCTTTGAGCACAGACCCATTGTAGACTACTCTGCAGGTTCAGGAAACAGTCCTCCATAAAATGTGTCACAGAGCGTCACACACTGTGGGCTAGAGTAAGGAACGGCCGGCGGATTCGTCGAAGGAGCGGAGGCTTGTGGCAACCACATGTGACAACCCCGGGCTGGACTCCGCTTCGTCCACGGTGAAAGCCGATCCGGCAATCCACAGCGCAAAGTTAATGTATTTCCTCAGCGACCAGCACGGATCAGCTCTAGGTATGACGAAGTGGATATCGTCCTCTTTTGGCTTTTATCAAGGCCAAACAAAATAGTTCCGCTTTCACAACGAGAAACAGCGTCTTCACGACATGGTGGGGGCTGCAACAACAATACTACAGTGAGAATAAAAGTTATGCTGCCTTTCTTTGCGTGAACATTTGGGCGGCGTTATGCAAATCTTCCCACGCTGTGACATAGACGTGTGGGGGCATGTTTAAACAAGGCGTTTTAGGAGGGCGTGGACAAGTCTTAACTTTTATAAAGAATATCTCTTTGGATTTGAGACTTTAGTCTTTGCAACTTTACAGATCTTCTTTATGCACCAAGAGCTTGTAACACTCCAAAGAGAAAGGAAAAATTTTAATCACATCATATGACCCCTTTAATACAAAATGCGGAAAGACAATCACACAGAGTACATTTTTCATTTAAAAACCTGAGATGCAGTGGGATGGGGAAAAAACGTCTCCAGGTTAAGTATGTAACCATGGTTCCCCGAAGGGAACGAGATGCTGCATCCGAAGACACTAAGGGAACCCCCCCAGCATGACCACACTCTGAATCACATGTGTAATCAGTCCAATGGAAGGGCGAGACGTCATAGGCGGGTGTTGTAGCGACCAGGAAGCAATAAAAGCACATGAGGTGGAACCGCCGTCAGCTTCTAGGAATGAAGCAAGCGCTCGCAGGGATGCTGGAAATATGGCTCTGAGACGCAGCGTCTCGTTCCCTTCGGGGAACCATGGTTACATATGTAACCGACAAGCTGCTCCTCTGTTGGTCACGGACTATAGAAAGTGAAACTTTGGTGTTTGGATTTATTCACACACGTTAAAATATTTATTTAGAGCTTCTTTCTTTTCAGATTCTTATTTACATAATTATTTTAATAGGCTGTATAGACTATTCCGGGTCACCCCTAGTATGCACCTTATGTATATCTATATCACACTTTAACATTTTAATTCATGTTTTCAAATGTTATCAAATGAAAATGTAACAGTTCCTTAATTTTTGGCAAAGGGCTGCACAACAGAGTAGGGATGTAACGATTACCGGTTTGATGACAAATCATGATAAAATTCCCCACGGTTAGTATTACCGTTTCGTCTTTTAATTATCATTAAAACCGTATTAAATTACTGCGCTTTGAACAACTCGCGATACAAAAATAAATACTGTCCAGCATAAAGCATAGTTTTAAGTAACAGTGTCACGTGTGCACAGCACGCAGAGTAGTTTCGAGTGAAAACAGGGCGGAAAAGCTGGGCGTTTTAAAAGAGTAATAAGGGAATTATACAAATGAATATATGAATTAATTAATTATATGAATGTACCTCTGAAGGTTCTGACTGTCTTCAGAAACGATTTGATGGCATTTTGTTTTCATCTTCGCTCCATGTAATACCTAAAGGAAGTGTTCTTAATCGCAATTACTGATGTAACGATCAGGGGTCGACCGATTATCGGCCTGGCCGATTATCGCCACCGATATTAAGCATTTTTATGATTATCGGTATTGGTCATTTTCAAAACCGATTCGCCGATAAAATAACTTAATTTTGAAAGCGCTATTTGGCTCTGATGCAGCCTGTCAGAACTCACCACTCTGTGGCCTAAAGTAGTCTCCGCCCACCGCTCATCTGATTTGTTTGTCCGACCAATCAATGCGGAATTCACTCTCACTCCGAAAGCGCTTGCTAGCTGGAGCTGCTTCAGTGATGATCACGCATCAGTTGTCTCTCAAAGATAAGGCAGCAGCAGACGTAGGTCAGTACACTTAAATAGAGTCACAATATGGACTAGTATCTGTAAATATTCAGCCGCAAAAATACTATTTAAATATGAATCCAGCATGTTCTGCGTGTCTCTGTGTATGTAAATGGCACAGACGAGCGGTGTTGTTTTCTACACATACAAAGTGTGCGACGCTCACGGTGATTTCAGCTTCTGTCGTCTCACTATACGAGGACATAAATACATGAACAACATCTCCAGAACTGCTCTAATCCCTCTAAGAGTCACTTCATGAGCATTTGACAGTTTCATTGGAGTAAAACTATCTTCATATCATTTACATAGACCTACAGAAACAAGTTCCTCATGGCAACCCGTCAAAATATAAGTTCGGGTTAGCTTAATGAAATTATCAGAAATATATTACTGTAGTGCAGTATGATGTACATAATACTACTCAGGGATGAAAGTTTTCCGTCGCTACGACCGATTTCTGTCAATTGGAAAAAATGAGGGGGAAAGAAACATGTACCACATTGTTGTTGTTCTGCCAAAAATCCTCCCCGCCACGGCTGCATCTTCTCACTGACAACATAACGCCGCTCGCATCATTCACAGTCGGATTATTAGCAGAGAACACAGAGCAGGTCTTGAATTTCAGGCGCAGGATTGCGGCTATTACTGTAATAATAATTATACTCATTCCCGCAGGTTCCGCGCTTATAACGCGATGACAGATGACGGAACTGATAATTTGCACGTGCTTTGAGTCTTGAGAACTCACTCGCGCGCTCTCATTTTCTGTGCGCCCACAGATCGCGATAAAGGAGAGTGACAGATTTTAATAATTATTCAAGGAGTTTGCAAATGTGATATTGATTTAATACAACAGTTCAATAAACACGTACTGCCTCATTTTCCTCTATTTCATCAACGAAAATAGTTACAAATAAAGTAACAGAGCAGCCGCTTCCCAACTCAAAAAGCAAACACAGCGGTGTCTCATTCATGAATGAAAGTGCGTTTTTGAACGAATCTAGTGAGTCAGTGATACATGATTACCCATTCATAAAGACAGTCACTTGCTTCGTTCCTGAATGAACAAGCAGTTCAAACGAATCAATTGAATGAATGATTCAGTGATAAAATCCGTGATTTGTCGCCACCTGCTGGCGGTTTTAGTTTAATTTTTATGTATAATTTCAGTTATTTAAATCATTTAATATTTCTGTATTCAAATTTTTATTTAAAACATTAATCTCCACATGAATTTATGAATTTAATTGCACTCATGCCACCTCTGAGCCTCATTGAATGTCTGAAAATGTACCTACAAGCCACTTTTGTGTTCTTCTGTGCCACCTCTGTAGTACAAATT